GGTGCATCAGAGGCCATCTGGGATGGAGAGGTGGACGGGACAGGAGCGTCTCAGCTCCACGCCGCCCCGCTCAGTTCCGAGGAGGGCTTAAAGCTCACGTTGAGGAAGCAACTCGCTAGTGTGTTCAGCGCCCAAGTGAGTCTCGAACTCGCGCCTCTGGATTTTTCAGTACCGAGCCCTTTGAAGAAGTTGGCAGCAGAGCTTTGGAGGAAAAAAAAAAAAAATCTCCCCTGGTCTCTGAAGTTTCCCGCTTGGACTTTGACCTTCCCCATCCCAACCCCCGCACTCCTCCGGGGCACACCTTTCTTCTCTTCCCCCAACACTCCCCTCCCCCACCGACCAGCCGGGTGCCGCTCCGGAGCCGGGGCCACTGTTGTTGGGGCATCCTCGAGGCTCCTCCCCCTCTGCCAAGGCCTTCCAGTCCTACCCTGAGATTGAAGGAGGCGGTTCTGCCGCGCTCAGGACCACACACACCTCAGCCCCGGAGTTTCCGGTCCAAGACCTCAAGTGTGCGCTCTTTGTGCACGTGCTGGCCGGAGGGGCTCACCCCGGTGTGAACTTGGGTCTGGGCGCATGCATGGGAAAAAAAAGTTCTTCTTTTGAGTCTACTCAAGATCCCCTTCCCTTTTCCCCCTGCAACTCCTTGAGAGGCTCCTGGCGGCTGCATTCTCTGAAGTGCAGGCGGGAGGGGGGGGGGAGCATCGGCTGGGGGAGCCTCAGCAGGGGTTTGGGTGGACCCAGAGTGGGGGCTTGGGGCTATGACTGTCTGGTTTGAGCTGCCTCCTGTCCCTGCCTTCCCGGAGTACTAGACCGAAGCGGATATAGCCATCCTCGCCTCCAACAGGGCACGGGGGTGGGTCAGAGAAGGGAGCACTTCATTCGTTCAGCTCAGCGCTCCAAACCTACGCTGAGGCTGCAGTCTGCTCCAGGTACCGCTCTGAGCCCCAGGCTCCCTTTTCTTAGAGCTAGCCTTCTGGCAAGGGACACAGATGCGGGCAGGATGAATGAGGAAATAAGTGCAGATGCCTCTGGCGGACTAGGTGCTTTTCATTAAGAACTGTCCACTGTGTGGTGCTAGGGAGGAAAGCTTTTAGCAAGGTACTACCACAAATTAACCTCGAAGCTCGCCTATGGGGGTGCTTCACTCGGGGCATGGGGCTGGGCTGGACGCTCAAAGACCCCTTTTCCTCGAGACTGCAGTTTCTAACAACTGGACTAACAACTGGAGCGCTGGCCGCCTTTCAGTGGGGTCCTTTTTTCTCTCCCAGAGAGAAAAGCGAAGGTCTCCAGTAGCTTTCCTTCTAAAAGTGAGGAATTGTGGTCTTGGCTTGGGACTTCAGCCACTGAGCACGGCTATGCATCCACGCTTCCATGTGGTCTCAGTTTCCCTCTGTGCTGTGAGCCCCTGTCTTGGAGCCCAGCGATGTTTGGGACCAGATGCACCTCCCATGCTGCAGCGGGGAGCGTTGTGGGATGGTCATGTGGTAGCCAGAGTTTGGGGCAGCGTCTCTGGGTTGAGAGGATCTGGCCGAGAGCCTTGCCGCTCGTAGACTGGTCATACTGTACTGCTGTGGAGGGTCCTTTGGCCTTTATTGTCCTGCAAGTGTTTGTAGGGTTGTGTGTATCTCACTGTGTCTTTTTTTCTCTTCCCAGGGCAAAGTGGAGTACCTGGTGAAGTGGAAAGGATGGCCCCCCAAGTAAGGCTCCTTCCTGTGTGTGTATTCCCCTGCCTGTCATCCCCTCCCCACGCTGGCTTCAGCTCCGGTTGCTTTTGTGACTGAACCAGCAAGCTCTAACTAAATCACTAGCTTTTCTAGGCCTCAGTTCCCCTCTGCTAGGGGGTGTTCTGCTTGTCTCCTCATCCTGCCCCCGCTTCTGGCCATGGGAGTTAAGGCCCAGCACCTTGGCTTCCTCCATGGCTGCTGGCCAAGTGAAGAGGTCCCCATGCGGAGCAGGCACAGTGCTAGTGAGACAGGAACCTTGGGCAGTGGATCTCCAGTCCTCAGTGCGGTCAGCGTGGAGAGGGATGTAACCTGGGGTCATCTTGCATTTGGATGGTACTCTCTTGTCTACAGAGTAACTTACCAGGCATCCTTTTTAAGTAGGTGTGATTCTGAGCTTTTCAGGTGAGGAAACAGTCAGAGATGGTAAGCAACTTGACTTCGGTCACACAGCAAGGAGAGGCAGTGCTGGGACTTGAACTAAGCCTGATCATTTTTCAGGCCTCTCCTCTGTGTCTTCCCAGTATTCTTTCCTGGTGTTGTGGGGTAGAGAGTTAGATATGCTACCTGGTGGTGGACCTCTGGTGTTGAGGCCTGATGAGGAACCTTCTCACTGACCGATCATCTCCCAGCAAAGAGTTATTGGGGTTGGGAACAAGCTAGATGTAGGACCCTCTTAATGGTTTGTGAATGCTCTGCTCTGCCTCCTAGAGACTGGCTTCTGGAAACCCCCTCTTGCTTTCTTGATGGCTCTGGTAGCCCTGGAACTTTTTCTTCATGTGTGTGTGGGGGGCATATTGGGAGGTGTGGAGGGAGAGGGCTGACTTGTGATTGGGTCCTGGGGTATCGTGGAGGGATGGTGGGAGGAGGGGAAGTCAGTCCCTGAGTGCCCCAGCTTCCCCCTCTCCAAAGTGGGTTCAGTGGCCCAGGGCTTCGAATCTCTTACGGGCTGCTTAGCCTGGCAAGGTGAAAGGCCTGGGCGTTGGTTCAGAGTGGACCACAGGCATCCAGGTGGTGTGTGATGACACATTTGTCTACCCTTCCTAACCCATCTTCCTTTCCCAGATGACCGTCCACTGGTCACTAGTGGTCATCTGGCCTGGGCAAAGAGGAAGGGAGTTAGGGCAAAGGGGAACAGCCAGCGGCCCGAACAGGGCTCAGTTTGCTGTCCACGTCCAGCTGCAGTTGACCACATGGACAGCTTCCCTGACGGGAGGGGAGCGGAGCCGAGCTAGGGCTTTGAGAGTTCTCCTGTTTCTTTCCAAAGCCATTGACTAGATACCTGAGGGTCATGCCTTCTCCCTTTGCTTCTAGATTTCAGGCCTGGATGCCTATTGGGCACTTGTGAGCCCTTGGGCAACTCGTCACCTCTACTTGCTGGTATAATAATAATACCGAACCCCCAAAGCCTCTCAGAACCAGTGTTGTGAGAATTGAACTCATGGTCCAGGGTCAGCTGAGGAGGCCTCTAGGCTGTTTTTCTGTTGGAAGGAAATTCCATTCCAAATAGGAGCTTAAAGTTTTCTTAGACTAATATGTAGTCTTTTCAGATGGAGAAACTGAGGCTCAGAGAGAGGAGGTTATTACAGGAACATAACTGCTAATTCCCACCTCACCATTCCCGTTTCATATGATGCCTGCTGCCTGTGTGGGTCAGGCCCAGCTGGTTTTCAGAAAACTGACTTGGAGCAGAGGTTGAGAAAGTGTGGGAGTGGGTGTTGTCTGGCCTGGGAGTCTCGGGCAGGGTGAGATGCTCCCATTTTTGTAGCTACTCTCCTCATGGCTAAGTAGGGAAGTACTGATTAGTAACTGTGACAGGAAGGCACCTCTGCCAGGCCACTGCAGAGCCGTTTTGTTGCTGCCCATTTTCTCCCCAGCCAAAAGCAAACAACAGCCTCCGCTTCCCAGTGGATGTGCTAGAGGGGAACTCTTGGATCCTCTGGCCATCAGGCAGAGGGTGTTGCTCCAGGTGCTCTGTTCCCCCTAGAGACCCTTGGGTACTGCACTTTTGCCTCTGCCTGCCCGGCACCCTGCAGCTCCCCATCTTCACGTGTAGAGCTCCAGCTTTTTCAGAAAGGCTTCTCCCTGGAGCTTCAGTAATGACGTCATTTACCAAGCTGCCCGTGTGAGAGCCCCAGTGTGAGCCAGGCATCACCCACCTCCGAGATGGAGAGTCCTCATTGGAGACTCCGACCTGACCCCTGGAATACATGGCCAGCGTGGCCACGCAAGGGGCCCCGGGGTGGCCTTGCTGTTAGCTTTTCCAGTGTCAGACTAGCATGCCTCCTCGTGAACTTCGGGTGATTGACAAGCCATGACCCAAGGCAAAACTCTTAAGTTGCCTGTGCCTCCATTTCCTCATGTGTGATGAAGCCCACTAGGAGTCACTCATGCACCCTGGCAGCCAGGCACAGGGCAGGGTGCCGCCGCCGCCTCCTCGCTAGGCCCAGAAAGAAGCCTGGTTAAAAAGCCCTGGCAGCCATGCCCGCAACTCTGGGCTTGGGAAGCTGGTTTAATGAACGCTTCTTGGATTTTATTATGTGTCACACTCGAGTATGTGCGTCATGCGGCTTAACACATGGAGTCTTCTCCACAACTCAAGGCTGAGGAATTACAGGGAGACTCAGTTTAGAATGAGGCTCACAGTTGGGGCGGTTGAAACTGGAGTCATGGAGCTGCCGCTGGCCTGGCTCCGCGTGGCCCCAGCTCGCCCGGTTTCGCGTGCAGCTCAGCAGGCCCCTCCCCCACCCTGGAACGGCAGGCTAGGGCCCGGCGATCTGTCTTGCTTGGGGGGTGCTGCGCCCCACCCCAATCGCCTGACCCCCGGCTCGCGGGGGGCCGGAGGAGAAGGGGCCGGGTGCGGTGGCGGAGCTTGTTTACCGGGCTGGGAGGCGGGGCTGCGGTCACGTGGTCGTGTTTATCTCCAGCAGGCAGGCGTGCCCCGCCCAGATAGGTTTCCAGTGATCCGGGCTCCCACTCTCACGCTGTGCTTGCAGCGCCGGCTTTCTACCTGCACCAGATGCTTGTGCACCAGAAGCTTGCAGCGGCACTTTGCGGCCAGTTTTGGACCCTCTGCAAGACCCTGCTGTTTCACTTTGCCTCAGGGGTTAGCGGTCCGGTCCTCGCACCCCCGGGTCCTCCTGGGGCTCCCTTTCTCTGCCTTGGGACTTGGTTCTAGGACTCTGGCCGCCCTTTTCTGTGGTTTCACAGCTTGTAGGGCTAAGAGGGCCTAGATATAGGCAGTGATCCTCCCCCAGGGATGCTCCAGCTTGTGGGGAGCCCAAGGAGGTGACCTTAGGCAAGTTGGCTTAATCTCTATGCCTCTGGTTTTTCATCTGTAAACTGGAGTGACTATTTAGGAACCTGCCGTGGTGTAAGATTATGGGGGATGCCTCAGAGTAGACTGGTGTGTTCTCGTGACATACAGTGGGGGCAGTTGTTCTTTAGATGAGGGAATTGGGGTGCAGAGAAGGGTAGAGGCTTACCAGGAATCACATTGTAGCTGCGGTGGTAAGGAATGGGCCCGAGGTGGGGCAGGGCAGGCTAGAGATGCTGAGCAGGCAGGGAGGGTACAGTAGGCAGAGTGCCTCTCCCTTTGTTGGGCAGAAGGCATGAGTTCCACCTGCCCTGGTCGGGGCAGCTCAGCAGCCTTCCCGGAACACCTGCGGCTGAGGTGTGCGTTCATAGTTGCACGGGTCCTCCTTAGCAAGGGCCAGTTGGGCCGGGATGGATGATGGGGAGATGGCTGCTGGACCAGGAGAAGAATGCACGCTGGGGCTGGTGATGCCACTGCTGAAACCCGAGAGGCAGCCCAGGTACCCACGTGTTGGCTGAGTAACAAGGAGGAAGGAAGGAAGTTCTGTACCAGGACCGCTTGCCCCTCTGCATGGTCCAGTGTCCCTGAGACTTAAAGGTTTTAGCTCTTAGGGTGTCTCTGCCTCCTTTCTCCCTGCTGGTGAGCCCTCCCACCCAGTTGCCTGCTTTCTCCAGGAGGACGTTGGCCGGAATCACAGAACATGGCCTTGTTTTTTTGTTTTTTTTTTTTAATTATATAGCACTGGGGATTTGGGATTTAGCTCAGTGGTAGAGCGCTTGGACCCTGGGTTCGGTCCTCAGCTCCGAGGAAAAAAATTATATAGCACTGGACATGGTGGTGCAGGCCTTTAATCCCAGCACTAGGGAGGTGGATTTCCTGAGTTGGAGGCCAGTTGGGTTCACAGAGGGAGTTCCGGGACAGCCAGGGCTACACAGAGAAACCCTGTCTCAACAAAAACAAAACAAAACAAAAAACAAAAAAAAGCAAAGCACATACACATATATGTGTATGTGTATATAATTTATTTACATATACTTCATATGTGTATTATCTTTATTTTATTCGATAAATTCATGTGTGTATAATTTAATTAATTAATTAATTAATTAGTTTATTTATTTATTATGTATATAGTGTTCTGGCATATATGCCTACATGCCAGAAGAGGGCACCAAATCTCAATATAGATGGTTCTGAGCCACCATGTGATGCCTGGGAATTGAACTTAGGACCTCTGGAAGAGCAGCCAGTGCTCTTAACCTCTGAGCTATCTCTCCAGCTCCTATAATTTAAAATTTTAAATATAAAAGATTTAATTTTAAAAATTATGCACATGTTTTTGCTTGCATGTATGTATGTGCCCCACCTGAGTGCCTCAGAGGCCAGAGGAAGACGTCCCTTAGAACTGGAGTTACAGGTGGTTGTGAGCCACTGTGTGGGTGCTGGAAACTGACTCAGGTCCTCTGCAAGAGCAGTAAGTGCTTTTAACTGCTGAGCTCTCTCCAGTCCTAATTATGATTATATTTAAGTCCATTTCCCTCTTTTTTGGTTTATTTGTTTGTTTGGTTTGGTTTTTTGTTCGAAGCATTGTTTCTCTGTGTAACCTTGACTGTCCTGGAACTCACTCCGTAGATCAGGCTATACTCGAACTCAGAAATCTTGACTTTGCCTTGGGAGTGCTGGGATTAAAGATGTGCACCCGGCTTCCATTTCCCTTCATCTCCTTTTACTGGAACCGTTCTTGCCAACGTGCCCCCTTGTGTGTGTGTGTGTGTGTGTGTGTGTGTGTGTGTGTGTCTTACCAGTAGCCACACCTCTGAAGAAAAATGACTTCTTTCCTAGCAGCTATGGACTTCCAATGGTTCTTCAGCTAGGGGCATAGTTTTGTGTGCTTCCTCCCTCATCCATACTGGAATGTTGACAGGCTCCATTTTGTGCAAATAACCACAGCTCCTGTGAGTTCAGGAATGTGGTAGCCATGTCGTGTCCAGGACAGCATCTTACAGCACTCATCCTCTGGCTGACACATTCTTTCTGCCTGCTCTTCTGTGATGTTTCCTGAGATTTGTTGGAGAGGACTAATATAGATGTCCCGTTTAGGGCTGAGCACTCAAAATTTAACTCATTCTCAGCAGCATTTCGACCTTTTTGTTTTGTTATGTTTTTGTTTTTCCTTTTTATTATTTTTTTCAGAGCTGAGGATCGAACCCAGGGCCTTGCGCTTGCTAGGCAAGAGCTCTACCACTGAGCTAAATCCCCAACCCCTGTTTTTGTTTTTTAAGACAGGGTTTCTCTGTAGCAGGCTTTCTTAGACTGGTAGCTTCCAAACCATGACATGGACACTTATTAAATATGAATGCTCAGCCTTTAGCTTAGGCTAGTTTTTTTTTTTTTTTTTTTTTGGTTTTTCGAGACAGGGTTTCTCTGTGTAGCTTTGTGCCTTTCCTGGAGCTCACTTGGTAGCCCAGGCTGGCTTCGAACTCACAGAGATCCGCCTGGCTCTGCCTCCCGAGTGCTGGGATTAAAGGCGTGCGCCACCACCGCCCGGCCGCTTAGGCTAGTTTTTATAACTTAACCCATTTCTATTAATCTATGTGCTGCCCCAAGGCTCATTTACCTCATCTACGTACTGTCCATCCTGATTTCCTACTTCCTCTGTGTCTGTCTGTCTGGCTCTCTTTTCTCTCTGCCCATAAACCCCGCCTGTCCCTCCTCTGCCTAGCTATTGGCCATTCAGCTCTTTATTAGACCAATTAGGTGCCTTAGGCAGGCAAGGTGAAACAGCAGCACATCTTTACATAGTTAAACAAATACTCTATTCCACAACATTTCTCTGTGTAAAAGCCCTGGTTGTCTTGGAACTCACTCTGTAGACCAGGCTGGCCTCAAACTCAGAGATCCACCTGGCTCTGCCTCCCAAGTACTGGGATTAAAGGCCACCGCCGCCACCGCCACCACCACCTGGCTTCACACTGACCATTTTTGAGTCTGCATAAGTTCTGCCCACTGCAAAAAGCAGCTTCTCTAAGATTGAAAACAGCACAGAGCTATGGGTATAAACACTTAGAAGGCAGTTTGATGGCATGTCCCTTTCAAAACAACAGATGGGTTCCCTCCTAGAACTATGATTCCCCTCCATAGCTTTTAACCAAGTTTATAGCCCCAGATGTAATTTTTCTCTTGTGGAGTTGGCCTCAAATCAGTTCAGAAAGTGGTTGGTTACTTACCATTTATGCCTCTGTTATACCATTGGCAGTGTCTTGCCTAGCCGGTCAATATTACAACAAGCAAGGTTCATCACTGGGTAAGACTCTTAGTGACTTTTCTCCCCAGCAGCCTGCCTGGTACCTTTTAGAACTATGAAAACTAACTAATAAGAAGCCCCAGGTCAGTTTTAGCTTGATTATCTAGGTCTCATAGTCAAAATATGTGGTGTCTTCAGTATCAGGGTCCTACTGCCTAATTTTGGTGGGCAACCAAGAACAATGACAATAGCCTGTTTTGTTTGGGTCCTCTGACCTTCTTGTCAAATAACTCATTGAAGCCTGGTGGTGGTGGTGCACGCCTTTAATCCCAGCACTCGGGAGGCAAAGGCAGGCGGATCTTTGTGAGTTTAAGGCCAGCCTGGGCTACAGAGAGTTCCAGGACAAGCTCCAAAAGCTACACAGAGAAACCCTGTCTTGAAAAACTAAAAACAAAACAAAACAAAACGCATCGGGAGGCATCTCATGCCTGGCACTGAGATTTTCACTTAGTAACCTGTGCTTTCTGGGAGCAATAGCAATAGACCTCCATTCACAATCCTGTTTTTAAAAATACTGTGTGTGTGTGTGTGTGTGTGTGTGTGTGTGTGTGTGTGTGTAGGTGGGAGGGTGCATTTGAGTCTCACTGTGACAGAGTACATCTTGGTTCTGTCTACCTGGTAGGTACCAGGGAGCAAACTCAGATTGTCAAGCTGGGCAGCAAGTACCTTTACCTGCTGAGCCATATTACCAACCCTTAATCTCTTTAAAATAAGTGTGTGTGTGTGTGTGTGTGTGTGTGTGTGTGTGTGTGTGTGTGTGTGTGTGTGTGATGGTGATGGTGATGGTGATAATGGTGATGATTATTCGTTTGTGTATGTGTGTGGTTATGTGCACATGCGTGCAAGTTTCCAAGGAGACCAGAAGAGGGCACTGGACCCCCAGGAGCTGGGTGGTACAGGCTGTTAAGAGCTACCTGACCTGAGTGCTGGGAATTGAACTCCTGCTTCTTCCAAGAGCAGCACGTGCTCCTAACTGCCAGGCCATCTCCAACCTCTGTATTTTAAAAACTAGCTTACGGTTTAGTGGTTTTCCGTTGACTTTCCATACGTCGGTAGTTTTGACTGGCTCTCCCCCATCCCTTGTTCTCATCCCCACTTAAGCCTTTTTCCACCCCTGGCGGGCTGCTCCACTCTGATGCTTGGGTCCGCTCTCCCCCTCCCACTTCCAAACCTTTCCCTCTGTCTCATGGGACCTTTCTAGTTTCCTGACCTCCACAGACACTGCAAATTAACACAGGTCTGAAAATCTGAAACTAGGCTCCATCCATATGAGAGCATGTGGGGGTGGTCTTTCTGGACCCGGGTTACTTCTTTTACTGTAGTTTCCACTCCCATCCATTTTCCTGTGAATTGCTAGTTTAAGTTTTCTTCACATCTGAATAAAATCCCGTTGTATATGTGCCACATTTCACTGTCTGTTCATTGATGAACATCTAGGCTAATTCCATTTCTTCGCCATGATGAACAGAGCAGAAACGAACACAGGTGAACAAGTAGCTCTGCAATAGTCTTTAAGTACATGCCCAGGAGTGGTGGTTGAGCCCTTGCCTCTTTTATTTATTTATTTATTTATTTATTCATTTATTCATTTATTTTTTAAATTGAGGCGGTCTCACTATTGTCGTTTTGGCTGGCCTGGAACTCATTATGTAGACCAGCACACCCAGGCATCCATCCATCCATTTTTTT